ATGATCCTACTACCCCCAACACAAAACATACAAAAACAAAGGAAAAATGTTCAAAATGTAGAAGAAAAAGTGAACTTATTTTGCCGTAGTTATGTCAGGGTTGTGTACAGTGATCTTAAATGAGTTTTTAGGCTTTCCTACTTTTTCTGCTATTTTCTTTATCCTTTCTTCTTCTTTAAAATTTTTTTTGCCCCAAACTTGGGCTCTTCCCGCCTCAGCCTACCGAGTGCTGGAATTCCATGTTCTGCCACTTCTTTGTTGTTGGTTGGTTGGTTTCTTGATGCAGGGTTCCCATTTCTAGTTGAGGCAGTCCTGGAATTCACTGCATAGCTCATGCTGTCCTTGAACTCCTGATCCTCCTTCCTCTACTTTCCAAGTAGAGGCATGCACCACCAGGCCCTGCTCCATAGTTTATTTTATTATTTATTTATTTATTTATTTTGGTCTTTTTGAGACAGGATCTCCCTGTAGCCCGAGCTGTCCTGGAACTCACTCTGTAGACCAGGCTGGCCTTGAACTCACAGAGATCCGCCTGCCTCTGCCTCCTGAGTGCTGGGACTACAGGCGTGTGCCACCACGCCCGGCCATAGACATTTTCTTTAAACACTATAAATTGCTTATATACTTGGAAAAAGGGGTCGGGGGTATTGAGGCTCGGAGGAAAGAAACTCTCTACTTTGGACATGAACAGACTGAAGAAGGGGCTTTTAGGAATCTTGGGGCTGATGTCCACATGTTTGAAGGACAACAGCACTTTCCAACCTTCAAGTCACGTGGAGTAATAGATATTCCTGGCTCTCTGATGGCCTTCAGTACTGCCAGGCCTCCATTGACCAATGATGCCACAGGTGCCATCCTCATAAGCCATTTGGCCAGGGACCTGGCTGTGGGTCTGGGTTGGCATTTTTTCATGCTGTAGCACCACAACAGGTGGCTGCTTATCCTCACCCTGTCATCCAGCTCAGCAAACCCTGGCTGTCCACCAGGTGCCCCTCCCTGTGCAGCTTCCTCCTTTACACCAGAGGTTTGTGTTGAGATCTCTGCACTCTTTCCCCAGTCAGGTTGTTTCATGGGCAGAAGGGGAATAGGGAGGCTTTACTAGGTTTCTTTCCTCACGCCAGCCATCCTGAAGCCTGGGTCCCGTGTCACTTGTTGTTACCTGGACATAAGCTGCCTTCTGTCATTAATGTCTGTTGTTAATTTTTAAAAAGAACCTTGGGGCTGGAGAGATGCTTCAGCAGTTAAAAGCACATACTGTCCTTGCAGGGAACTCAAGTTCAGTTCCTAGTGCCTACATCAGGCAGCTCACAACTGCCTGTGACTCCAGCTCCAGGGGACCCAATGCCTCTGGCATCTGCAGGTACTGCACTCATGTGCACATACCCATATACAAACACAAACACATGCACATAATAATAAATATTTTTTAAAAATCTTGTGTGTGTGCTGAGTTCTGTGTGTGATGTGTTTATGTATTCATGAAGGTGTGTTCTTGTATGTACACAGGGGCCAAACATTGATATTGGGTGTTTTGCCTCACCTGGCTTTTTACATAGTTACTAGGGATCTGAACTCTGTCCTTATGCTCATATAGCAGGCACTCTGCTGACTGAGCCATCTCTCCAGCATCTATGTGTTAATTTTTTAAGTATGTCAGAAACATCAAAATGTTCAGGGCTGAGAAGATGGCTCAGTCAATAAAGTGCTTGCTATGTAAGCATGAGAGCCTGAGTTTGGATCCCTAGCATCCACATAAAATATGGGTACAGTAGCATTTAGCATTCATCTGTAACTCCGATGAACAAGACAGGCACACACACACACACACACACACACACACACACACACACAAATGAACAAATCTTAAAAAAAAAAAAAAAAGAGACTGTCTAAAAAAATAAGGTGGAGAGCAATTGAGGAAAACACCTGAGGTCAGCCTTTGGCCGCCACATGCATGTGACATGTGTGCACTCACATGCACACACCCACATGAGCATGCACACATGCACAGACACACACTGTACAACTCTTGATGTATGATTTCATGAATTTTCCCATCTATATCCATACAAGTACCACACACGCTGCTGAACATTTGCATTATCAGAAAGGGCCACCTTATAGCCTTTCCCAGTCAGGGCCTGCCTCCAAGTCCCACATCACAGTGATATCTGCTACAGGCTAGTTTTGGCTGCTTGGAATTCTGTGTGTACTCTTGTGTGCTTGTCTTGTTCATTTGGGACGGAGTCTAGCTGTGTAGTACAAGCTTGCCCCAAACTCATAGTCCTCCATGCTTATCCTCCTGAGTGAGATTGCAGGTGTGCACTGCATCTTTTTGCTTACCATTGTGTGCATCAGTTTTGTTCCTATGTTTAAAAAAAAATCACAAAAAATTTAGTAGCTTAAGATTGCAAATGAGGGCTGGAGAGATGGCCTGGCAATTAAGAGCACTGGCTGCTCTTGCAGAGAACCTGGGTTCAGTTCCCAGTACCCACATGGAGCTAACAACCATTTGTAACTCCAGTTCCAGGGTATCCAACACCCTCTTCTAGCCTCTGGGCATTGTATCCACTCTGAGCATTGCAACACCCTCACACATGTGTTGCACTTACCTACCTGCATGCAAAGCACTCATATGCATTAAATAAGTAAGTAAATAAATAAAAATAGCAAACAGTATTAGTGTTTACTGTTCTCAGTTTGATTATAGACGAGATGGTTCATTTTTGTCTGTGACAATTTGCCAGGAATGAAAGACCAAAAGACCCTTTCATTGTTGTTTTGAGATGGGGATTTACTCTGTAGCCCAGGCTGGCCTGGAACTCACTATGTGCCCCTTGCACTCTGTACCTTCCTGCCTCAGGCATGCACCACCCTGCTGGCACTGGAAGATTCCTTTTAAGATGGCTCATTTACATGGTGGAGAGTGTGCTGGTTTTGGGGGTGGTTCAGCTGGAGCTGTGTACCAGGGCTTCCTTCTTAGCATGTAGATCTCTCCTGAGAGACTTCCTCACTGCATGATGGCTGCTTCAGAGAGGGAGATCATCCTGAGAACAAGGTAGAAATGCAAGCTTGTTTATGATCTAGGCTAAGGTCACATCATCTTACATATATCCTCTGTCCATAATCAAGGAGAGGGGCATGGACTTTATCTCTAGCCCAGGAAATGGGAACATTCTAGAAGACTATGGGAGGTTGGATAGTGAGGTGACAGTCGTTTTTAGAAGATACATCATGCCTATGACAGTCACTCATGCTGTATGATAGTCACAGTTTACTATTTTTAAAGATCTGTTTATTTGTATGTATGTATACATGCATGCATGAGTTTATGTATACCACATGCATACAGGTGCCTGCAGAGGCCAGAAGAGGGTGTCAGATCCCCTGGAACTGATGTGGGTGCTGAGAACTGAACCTGGGTCCTCTACCAGAGCAGTAAGTGCTCGTAACCACTGAGCCTCTCCAGTCCAATTATTTTTTTTTTTGTTGTTGTTGTTTTGTTTTTTGTTTTGGTTGTTACTGTTTTGGTCTTTGTTGTTGTTAAGATGGGGTCTCATGTAGCCCAGGCTGGTCTTCAACTTACTGTGGTAGCTGAGGCTGGCCTTACACTTCTGATGGTCCTGCCTCCACCTTCATAGTGCTCGAATTACAAGTGTACACCATCATACTTGGTCACTGTTTATTTTGAAATTGTTGTATAATATTTCATCACTCTTTTTCTCTTCATTTTTTTTCTTTCTGTTTTGGTTTCTTAAGACAAGGCTGTAGCCCAGGCTACTTTCAAACTCATTATATAGCCAGGGCTGGCTTGAACTTGCTATGTAGCCAAAGCTGGCCTTGAACTCCTGATCCTGATTCTACTTCCCAAGTGCTGGGATTATAGGTGTGCACCACCATGCCTGTCAAGTTATTTCTCTCTCCCTTTCTCTCTTTCCCTCTCTCTCTCTTTCTCTCTCTCTCCCTCCCCCTCTCTCTCATGTTATAGCCATAAGTACTTTAGTACTTATCTGCCAGTTTTAAAAAAATTATTTATTAACTGTGTGTGTGCACGCTTGCACATGTATGCATATGCCATGGTACACATGCAGAAGTCAGAGGGAAACTTGTATTTCCTTTCACCATGTGGATTCCAGGAATTGAATTCAAGTCATAAGGCTTAGTGGCAAGCACCTCTACCCACTTACCCACTGAGCCATCTCACCAGCCTCTGCCAGTGTTTTTAAAATGTCAAAACAAAATTATGGAAGTATTATATGACTATATCCTTCTTATAAAAGCTTTTAATATTACAATTAAAGTTAAAGTTCCTCTTGATACCTGTGCCACATCTGGGTCCTTTTTTCCAACCTAAAATCATCCCTCTCAGAATCTTGATGGGTTTCCTATCAGATTTTTTTATTACAGTCACAGACATATTCTCCTAGAAAATATTTCTCTCTCTCTCTCTCTCTCTCTCTCTCTCTCTCTCTCTCATCTCTCTGTGTATGTATGTACACATATGCATGGAGGCCAGAGGTCAACCTCAGGTGTCATTCCTTAGGTGCTGTCTACCTTTCTTGAGACAGGGTCTCTCACTAGCCTGGGGCTCACCAAGTGGTCTATGCTGGCTGGCCAGCAAGCCTGAGGGATCCCCAAGTTCTACCTCTACAGCACTGGGATTAAAAGCATGCACCTCCACACTTTCTTCTGGGGATTGAACCCAGGTCCTATGCTTGCATGGAAGTACTTTATTGGCTGAGCCATCTCCCAGCCCTTACTTCATTTTTTGGATGGGCTGATCACAATCCATTCTATATCACACCATTATTATTGAGTGGGGTTCCTGTGGGAGGGCATTTAGGTGGGACCCTTCTTACTGTTTCGCGTGTATCCTGTGAACTGCGGGCCATGGCATTGCAGTCTGTGAACAATTGCTTTGATACTGCTGCCTTCCTGTGTGGGAATGACAGTCAGTGGTCCTGGTCCCATCCACAGTGTCTCTTTTCTTTCCTCTGCAGAGACGTCTCAGAGAGGCTGTGCAGCTGCTGGAGGACTATAAGCATGGCACCCTGCACCCAGGGGTTACCAATGAACAGGTAACTCTGCTAGAACTGGGCATAGGCAGGTGGGCAGGGGATCCCAGAGTCTTGCTCATGTGCCAAAGTTTTGCTTTTTGTTCATAAAACTTATTTCAAAAACTTAACTTTGCATTTTTCAAAGAAATATGTATGCATAGTTCAAAAAGTGAAATAGCACCAAAATATTTGCAATGACAAACATTGCGCTGCCCAATCCCAATCCTGGTCACTAGAAGAAAACTTCTTTTAGCCACATACCAGATATAAATCTGTATTTCAAGATAATATGCTTATCTGAACTGCTGTTTCTCAGTTATTTTGCATTTTCAATAGCAGTTGAAGGCTGGGCTCTTATCCATTCCTATAGACACTTCTTTCTATCACATCCCTCCACCTAAAATATTTAACTGTGGCTTTGAGGTCTCTATTTATTCAGCTCTTTGTGTTATTCCAATCATAAATAACATTTACTGGATAGTCAAGTTGGTTACATCATGGCTATGTTTTTCTCTCTTTTCAACTTTATGGGTTTTTTTTTTTTCTTTTTTTTTGTCTTTTTGAGACAGGGTCTCCCTGTAGCCCCAGCTGTCCTGGAACTCACTATGTAGACCAGGCTGGCCTTGAACTCACAGAGATCTGCCTGCCTCTGCCTTCAACTTTATGTTTTATCTGGAGTTAATCATTGCATGATGTTTTTCACTGATAAACTTTGTCCTACTTCTCTTTAAAAAAAAGATTTATTTGTATATGTGAATGCCTACATGTATGTATGTATACCACATGTGTGTGCAGGTGCCCGAGGGGGCCAGAAGAGGATGTCATATCCCCTGGAACTGGAATTACAGATGACTGTGAGCTGCCATGTGGGTGCTGGAAACCAAACCCAGGTCCTCTGCAAGAGCAGCCAGTGCTCTTAACCGCTGAGCATCTCTCCAGCACCCTCCACTTCTAACTCTTACCGCATCCTCTGGAAGCATTTCAGTATTTTCAGTGCTTCCTTTTAATTTTAAGTCTCATGTCTTTCAGTTCCATTTTTTCTTCCTGAAATGTTTCTTTCTTGGGCCTGCCTCCCACCAGGTCCAGCTCTTTATTTTTCTTGGTATATACTGGAGTTTTGGTGAAATGCTTTTACTCACTCCCTGAAAAGGGTAAATGGGAAGAATGTTTAGAATGCTTTTATGTCTAAAAATTATAGTTGAGATTTAGTCTTAACTTACAGCTTGGGTGATAAAATTCTAGGTTGACAATAAATTGTTTTTTTTTCAGAATTTTGAAAATCATTGCTCTATTGGCTTGTATGATAGCTTTTGAAAAATCTGATGCCGTTTCATTCCTGATTTTTTGAAGGTAGCCTGCTTTCTTTCTCTGGAGATATTGCTACCCTCCTCCTTCTCCTCTTCCTCTTCTTCCTCCTCCTCTCCTTCCTATTCCTCTTCCTTCTCCTCTTCTTCCTCCTCTTCTTTTGAGACAGGTTATAGTCCCGGTTGGCCCTCAAACTTACTGTGTAGCCAAAGATGATCTTGAACTTTCGGTTCTCTTGATCAGCCTGCCTCTACCTCATAAATGCTTTGATTACTGGCCTTTTGTTGTTGACTT